CCATTTTTTTCAGATTTAAGTGCCCCAAAACATGCCCAAAAATCTCCACTATCAAGCACTAACAAAACAAGCCATATTTTGAGGGAAAGGAATAAATCTTTGTCTGCCAACAGGTGCTAGCGCTGCTAGGGGGTGCTAGCGGTGCTAGGGTATGGATGGCCGAGGCTCTGAAGTCCGTTAAGGGTAGCTAGCGCCGCTAGCTGGACTGGATTGCGCGACATTACGTTTCTGGCTCGTTTGGGCTCGTCCGCACTCGGAATTGAGTTTCGTTTTTTCCTATGCGTCGCTAACGAACCCCTCTATCCAATGATGCTTGAATGGCCAAATTATTATTGAAATAAAATTCTCTCAAAGCTTATGACTAGCACACCAAAGACGTGCTTCGTGCGACTTCGCGCGACTTCACATATTGGGTTCCGAACTCGAAATTGGATTTTGCTTTTTTCTATGTGTAGCTAAGGAACCCATCTATCCAATCATGATTTCCCGACCTATTTTCGAGCTAAATCGTTTCCTCATGGGGCTTCCGACCTGCACACTAAAAACAAGAAGAAAAACGTAGAAAAACGACAAAATACACGAAAAACACATAAAAAGCCAAAATAGAACAAAAAACACAATGAACTATAAAATGAACTAAAAGCTAACAAAAAGACCTAAAACGGGAGAAAAGGAACGACAAAATAGTACAGAAAAACGTAACAAAAATGGTCACAACACGAGCTCTCCTCCTTGACTTTAATTGAGGTCTCCTCCACAAACTTCCTCTTATTACCCGCCTTCAGCACCGTTTGGTAACAAGTTCTGGCCAACTGCTGGTCCCCCGTCACCTCACCTACTAGCTCTGCCACCGGGAACTTCATCTTCATACAATATGTGGACACTGCCGCCTGAAAAGAGTTCAAGCTAGGTCGCCCCAATATGACATTGTAAGCTGACTCCGCCTTTACCACCACAAATCGAACCATCTTCACCTTCCCCAAAGGAGGAGCTCCCAACACCATCGGCAACTGTATCTCCTCTATTGGTACAACCTCCACCGCGCTAAAACCAAACAACGATGTTCTAATTGGGGTGATTTCAACATCAAGGTCCCTCTCAAAGGTCACATCATCTTTGTTCTGCTTTCTTAGGTAGTGGATGAGGCTTCCCAAACATCTTAGTTTCCCCTCTCTATTCCAACATCTCATACACCTCCCCCCTTGGTGATGTTAGTGGCGTATAATGCTCATACTTAAAACCCATACGCCAATTCTCCTCATTCCTGCTCTCCCTACCTCCTGACCTCCTCTCATCCGATCTATACTTCTCATACTACAAGAAATTTTGCAAAACATGACGAAAAAATTCGTCATGTAAAACTTGTTTTTCGTCACAAAAGTACAATGATGACGAAATTCTATCGTCACATCGATCGTCACCGTAGCCGCGTCATATTAGGTATAGGTGACAAATTTTGAATTTGTCACCAAATGCTTCACTTTTAATGACGTTTTTAAGTTTCGCCATGTTATTTGGTCACTTTTCGTGACAACAATTTCGTCACGTTTAATATGAAAAATTGTCATATAAACGATTATTTTGTCATAAAAAGACATGTTTTAAATGACGAAAACTTACAGTCGTCATCTAAATATTATTGTTTAGTGACGAATTTTATTTTTTTATCGAATTTATAAAATTTCAATGACGAATATATTTGTGGCGTTTTCTTTAAAATAATCGTCATATTTCATAGAATTCGTCATAAAAAATTGTTCTATAATTACAATGTATTGGTCGTCATAAAAAGAAATTTTAAATATGACGATAACAAAAGTGTCACAAAAAATAGAAGTAGTGACGAAATATTATTCGTCTCCAAAAACATATAAAAGCGACGAAATCTTTTGTCATGAAATATTAGCTTTATGATTACGAAAAAATGATTGTCATCAAAAGCTTGAGATATAATGACAACATAAGTTGTTATGAAAAGGTAAATATTTAGTGACAAAAGTTATTGTCATTTTAACATTTTATATGGTGACAAATCTAAACAAATACATCACGACTACATGTTGTCAAAAAAAGATTATTTTCAATGACAATTTAAAATTTGTCACTATTACAAATATAATAATTGTCATTAATTGTAGATATTTAGTGATATATTTATTTGTCATCAAATATATGATACAGCGACAAAATCTATCGTCACTTTAAACAATTACGTCATTAAAAAGAAATTACAGTGACAAAATCAATATAATTAATATATGATGGTAATATGTTCTAGATGATAAATAAAAAAAACGACAATAATAGTAATTGTACTAATTAATAACATAAGTAAATGAACTAACAATCTCAAAATGTGCCAAATAAAATAGTAATAATAATAATAAAGCCTAACAATATCAAATTTGGATCCCAGTGGCAGCCATGAAAGCCATAAATTTGTCGACTTTTGCACCTTGTTGACTTAGTTGATCTTTCAAATCACTAACTTGGTCCTTAAGCTCAAGCACTTCAGATTTTTTTCCACGCAGCTTTTCTTGTGTCTCTAGAAATTCCTTCTGGCCGTTCGAGTCATATGCTTTGCGTCTACTTGGCGGCCGCGGGCCATACCCATAACCTTTTATATATCCGGCTCCATGGCCAAGAACCTCAAGAAGTATATCTTGTGCACTATTCTCAGTGCCTTGTTCAGAATATTTTTCTCTTCTTGATATCATCAAGTCCTGACAAATAGCAATAAAAACAATATAATCATATTGATATTCATTTCAACAATTAGAATAAGAGATTGTGCATGCAACTTACCCAGTTTTCTTCTGCCTCTTTTGTTGACCAACCACCTTTTTCCTTATAATGCGTACGCTTATAAAGTTCAATCATATCTAGTGTTCCTCCATTCATCTCCTTCTCAAACTACAAGATTTTTTTAACAATAAACATAAATAGTTTAAATAAAAAAACTAATGATCATNAACTAATGATCATATATAAATTAATATGTTGAACATAAACTTACTATTTCGTGTTGAAGAACAGTAAAAGGTGTTCGGCCCGAAACATGTGGAGCGCACAGCATTTGTCGATTCATCCCATTAATCAAACTTTGGTGCTGCCAAAACATAAATACTATTATTGAACACTAGAAAACTAAAAATATGAAAACTACAAATTTGATATTCAAATAGAAGAATAATGTTATAATGCATTACCTTGAATTTAGGCGATGCAAAAAGCTCACACATTTCTTCGCAGTTTTCTTGACTAACACAAAAGGACGGCTTGTTATTCTTAGCTTCTTCATGAGAGGAATATTTCTTATAATGTTGGTGTAGTCTGTAACGTTTTTGCCGTGAACTACCTTGGACTCTATCAATCACGCAACGTTTCACACACGGATCATCCAAGTTAATATCCATATGGATCTACACAAATAAAAATTGGATCATTTAAGGTGATATAAAAATGTATTCATGCAACTTGAAAAATGTTTCTAATTTTTACCTTTATATGATCAATGGCAGGTTGAAGATGTTTTTCTTCATCAACATCTTTCCACCTTATTGGCACCGGAAGAACATCTCGAGTGACTACACCAATTTGACTAGAAAATTTTGAAGACTCGTCTCCCCTTTTAGGTCTTCCTATCGATGGATCCACAGTTATCTTCATTTTTTTACCACAAGCCTGAAATGCCTTCATAATACCTTTGCCCATTGTTTGTCCACGCCTTTTCTTACTGGTGGTATTGATGGTATTGGAAGCTGCATGTTCACCACTCAATAAGTATGATGGTTATTTTAATTAGTCGAAAGCTTCCTACTCATAAGACTTTATTTTATCAAAACACTGTGAAATGCAAAGGCACATGTATATATATAGAACATGCATGTTTTTTATATTAGTCACTGAAGTTCCAAAGTAGATTCAATGACACATTTATCAACAGTTAGCAAATAACTTCACCAAAGAATTCTGCATGATAAATTTTCATACTACAGTTTGACAAACCACATTAAAAACAGAGGTATCTTCCACCAGGTAAATTCTTAACAAAAAACTAAAAACGAATGTAAGAATGAAATGTACAAAAGTCACCACAGCAACAAAAAACTGTGTCCCTGTTCCATATACAAAAAACATGAATTTGCTTCACATATATCATGTAAGAAAGTCACCCAAGATCATTTACGAAAGTCATCCCAGCAACAAATATAAGAAAGAAATGTAAGAAAATCACCCCAGATCATTTAAAGAAATGAACAAAAAACTATGTCCCTGTTCCATATACAAAAGTCACCCCAGCCCAGCAACAAATGTAAGAAAGAAATGTACTTTATCACGAAAAATTAAGAGCATTATTAAGATATATTATATATATACTTGCTTTCGTCCAGTATACTTGTCTTAATAATTTGATTAAACAAATTGGATGTTTTGTTTTTGTTCCAAACTCATATGCAGCTAAAGGGGAAGGATCAAGTAATGTACTTCAAAGAAGCAATTAATGGTTCCCATTGAGTTTAGAAAAATCTATCAACAATAACAGGACAGCAGGCTTTCATATCAATAAAGAGATCAAGGCACCAAGTGACCACATGCTAAAACTGTCCCTTTTTAAATAAACCCACAAGTTTGTACCGGATTATAGCCAGTCTTCTAACGGCAGAAAATTAGAGATATCACTGATGTTTTGATAAATCAGATGCACACAGTTATAAAACATGATGGTACACTGTTATGCACCAAAGTATGAGTTTGTTGCATGTGATCAACTGACGGTTAAAGAAAATGAGAAGATGATGAAGAGCTGTAAAATACCACCAGCAAAAAGCAAATGCAGATGCTAAATACCGGATAGAATGTTCAGGTCCCAAAAACTAGCATGCTGCAAAATATTTTACTTATTCAAAGTTTGTGGCTACAGTGCATTAATTATAGTGCATGCAAACATTTTTTTACTAAACCAACTGCAACATTTTCGTCAGGAAAATATAATCACATTAAATGCTCTCATTGTTAACTGAAATTGCTAAAGCAACCTGATCGGTTTCCAGTGACAATTGTAACAGATCTATCAACAATAACAGGACAACAGGCTTTCATATCAATAAAGAGATCAAGGCACCAACTGACCACATGCTAAAACTATCCATTTTTAAATAAACCCACAAGTTTGTACAGGATTATAACCAGTCTTCTAACGGCAGAAAATTAGAGATCTCACACAGTATATATCAATTATCACACAGTATATATCAATTGCCTAGGAAATGTACTTTATCACACAGTATATATCTATTATCATCTGTGGTTGATGAAGTGAACCACAATTAACCGGTGGAGTAATTCAGGATAATTCAGGACTGGTTTGATCAATTCAATACTATAACCATCTACACTTTTCTTTATAATTAATTAGCAGTTAGGCTTCATATAGCTTATATATATTTTTTTGATGAAAGAAATAATAGAAAAATTCAAGACAGGAAACAGACAGACGAATTTGCTTCACATATATAATGTACGATACATCAATTGAGTCAATTCATCCAACAGATAAATAGTAGGAGAAAAAACAAAAGAATCAATAAATCAAAATACATACCAATGATATCTGTTCCTACAGCATGTTTAGCATGTTTTTGGAATTGTAAAATCAGGTTTCGGAGTATTAGATACGTACCAACGATATCTGCCTGAGGTGATTGAGGCTGTTGATTTCCCTGATGTGATGGAGATTCGGAAGTGTTTTCATGTGGCTGACTTTGATTTTGCAAATCATTTTGCCGAGTTTGAGGAGTCTGAACTTCTGGCATAAGAGTACTCTCCTTTTGCTGAGTTTGAGGAGGCTGAGGCTGAGGCTGAATAGTTGCCATGTTTCCCTCGAACGTCGGATTCGCATTTTCGCTTCGTATAGACGAGCCATCAGTTATTGGCAATCCCTTGTTCACTTTGTCTGATGCCATATCAGTTTTCTCAGATTGTCGGGTGTTACTCTTCGCTAAACCTCCTGTCTTTGTCATCTTTGTCAGGTGTTCTTTGAGACTCTGCCGAGAATTATTTGGTATCATTCTTGGTTTTGGATTCCGAACTAATCCCGGAGCTATTTGAAACAATCTGTACGAGGAAAAAAGAAAACCATCAAAGTTTGAGGCAAAAACAAATCCATCTAAAACGAATGAAAAACTTGAATAACAACAGCCAAGTATATACTTATTCAAAATCAATGTAAGGCACAACCAAACAGGGTAAAAAATCTGTAAAACAAAAAGAAGCAAGATAAATCTAGAGTCTGCAGACCTAGAGTTCCTCAAGAACACACTGATGCAAAAGAGAAGGCGGGTTATAACTTTGTTAATTGTTTGCGTAATATTGAACTTATATGAGTGAGAGGGAGAGGAGAGATATTAGCAGAAGATACGATCACATTAATTCAGTCTTATACACCTTAAATAGATAAGAGTACCAAAATGAAACGAGGCAGTGAGCGCCAAATTAAAAATTTTCACTGCGAATGTTTTAGTGAATTAGATTGGCCAAAATTAACCCTAATACCCTTAGTTAAGCTAATTTTTTGAATGAAAAACCAAAAAATAGGGATGATTTATATGAGCATAAAACGAACCCGAACCTGTGGTGCCCGATCACCATGGGCGTGGCGAGCCTCTGCACCGGCGTGACCGACGACCTGCCCTCTATCGAGAAGTGTCTGTCCCTCGGCCACAACACATGTTCCTCTAAGATGCAGACTCGGTTGTCCGCTCACTCCACTCCCAAACCTCACCTTCCGCCGCCTCGTAGACCTTTGTATAACGCACGACCGCCGCCTCCGTCCTCATCCTCACCGACGACTTCGAGCACCAGGTGGCAGACATCATCAATGGCGGAGGATTTAATTCCTATTCCATCAAGAAATTGATGCAGTTTTGGGTTGAAATTGGGAGATGGGATCGAAATTGAGATTATTTGTGTCGAGATTTTTGGGCATTTGTGGCTTATTGGGCTAAATCTTGGTTAGCGAGGTGTCGAGATGTTAGGGAAGGAGATGAATTTTCGCGGAGGATTCAACACCTGCTGAATTCTGGCTAGTGGGTCTCGAGATGTTAGGAAAGGAGATGTTAGGGCATTTGTGGCTTATTGTGCTGAATTTTATTCTTAATGGCACTTTAGTAATTTTAGGTTATTATAAGGTATATTGTATAATAGTGTTTATAATAAAACTTGTTATATACAAAAATTTGTTAATTAGATATTATGTCAATTTAAATCATTCAAATATTACACATTAATTATAGTTACACATGTAATATCTATTTATATAAAAAATATTATTAAATATATTAAATTAATTTATTTTTGGTACAATATTAAATTAATTTTTAAGAACATTGGACTGGTTCAAACCGGTTTGATTAGTTGATTTTGACTGATTTCGACCGACTCAACCGATCGTTGACTGGTTTTTAATTGGTTCGCTGGCAACCGATTCATTACAGCATCGTTGCCTGATGGGAGGGGGGCATACTTATTTAATTAGGGTTTAAACAATTGGGGAAAGTGAGAATCGGTCAAGAGGAGGGAGTTCCTTCAATATCATTAATAATGATGATAATTTAAAAATATATTGATTTTCTAAACCTTGAAAAAATGAAATCTTGTCTCGGAACAGTCATAGACATCAAATGCACAACATATTCGATCTCCACAGTCTAATTTTGAAACTCGAAATAAAAATTGTCCTATCTTGTCTAGGTTAACAAACGAAGCCCTTAACTGATTATTATTATCAATATATTGTATTCGATCTCTACATTTTAATTTTAATACCCAGAATAAAAATTATACTTTTTTGTTTATGCTAACAAACGAACCCTCGCTTGATTATTGGAGAAGTTGTGATGTCACTGAGCAAGCGGTGGTAAAAGTATTTGAAAAGTGAAATATATAAATAATAATTTAATTCTTAAAAAAATGTCAAATGTAAATAAATAACTTATCTCTCCCCGTTTTTTTAATTTTTATTTTTAGCTAGCAAATATATAATCAAGTGGACCTCACACACACACAAATATATATATATATATATATATATGTATATATAAATATATATTGATAAATATAAAACTTTGTCCAATCCAATCGCGTCATATTATCTTAAGTGCAATCTAAACTGAACTGAATCGAATTAAGAATTAAATTTTCATGTTTAATTATACTTGTTCGTCAACTAATTAAAAAAGTGTATTTTTATTATATATGTTTATTCAATCCTATAATTAAAATGATATATAAAGTTATAGAAACACTTTGGACACATAAGAATTTTTTTTTTCCAAAAATCGAAAACCGAACAAAACCGGCAAAAAATTAAATCTAGACGTACCGATTACTTTGTAACGATAACCGAATAATCCTCGATTCGATTTTGATACCTCACAATGTGGTTCAGTTTTAACCGAACCGAGCTGATATATAAATATATATATATATATATATATATTAATTTATATTGAAATTTGATCTAGATTACACAGTTCACCTTCACAACACTTCAATTTTTCTCCAATTACCCTTGTAGGACCGTTATCGAACCGGACTATTCGCGAACAAACCTTGTTCATGTTAACAGCTCGTTCGTTTAGTAATCGATCCAAACTCGAACATGAAATTATGCTCATCTAGTTATCGAATGAATACGAACAACTTTGCGAACTAAACGAGCGTTCGCGAACAACTGGGTATTTTATAATTTTATATATATTATATATAATTATGTACATAATTTATATAAATTATACAGATATATATATATATATATATTTATATATTCATATATAAGTATGAAAATGTGTTAAATATTAAATAACAACTTATATGGTACTTCAAAGAAAAAAACTAGCAAACACGAACACGAACATGTTGAATAATACGAGCACGAATATGTTCGACTATACAAACGAACGAATACAAACTTGTCAAACCGAGAAACTAACGGACACGAATGGAAATTTTTGTTTGAATATTAAATGCACGAACACGATCATGTTAAAAAATTAGTCGAACCGGGCTCGAAAACCTTAAGGTCGGTTCAGTTGCTATGTCTTAATTGAATTTCTTGAAAATCTCTAACACTTAATTGAAAATCCCTAATTGGATTAAAATTCAAAGTCTCCTAATTAATCTAAGTATCTAACACACTTATACAATACAAACACAACACAAGAATTCGTTCCCAACAAAAACATAGCCGCACTTACAGTACAAACGAGAATTCGCACACCGGTCACAACACAGAGTATTCGCCGACGACGGGAGTTTAACCGGAACAGATAACTTCCACAACCCGTGCCGTCACCGGTTGAGAAGGACTGAAGCAAGAAGGGAAAAAAGAAAAGCGAAAAAGAAAGGAAAAATAGAAAGACATAACACTCGCCCTCACCGTAGCCGGTTATCTGCCGTAGGTTGGTCGCCGTCCTCGGTAGAAGAAAAGGCACAAGGTAATTTTTCAATTCGTGTGCAATTTTTTTTTTTCAATTCGTGTAGTATACTTTGACAATTTTGCAATTTCTTTTTTCAATTCGTGTAGTATACTTTGACAATTTTGCAATTTTTTTTATCTCCCGTAGCAAACCTTGAGTTCACTTATACGTATATGTGGAAATTAAGTTTGCTGGAAAATCCTCATCTAACTAACATACTCTGTTTTTTATGTATCAAGGGGATAACTCGCCACGCCTCGCGCCATTGCGTCCCATGGCGCTGCTATTTTAATCGTTGGGCTAATGTATAAATTTATCTGTGAAAATTCCTAGTTATCAGCATTGATCGGATATTTATTGTTCATCCCTTAGTTGTTCAATGGTATTCATATAAGATGTATAATCAAATTTGAGGTTTGAGGTTGCAAGGTGGCTATTTGTGTTATTTTTGAACCATGGCAAATATATGAGTTTTCTAGATACATAACGTGCTAAGTCGAGTCTAGACGCAAATCATTTGATTACAAGGCTATCTGCTTCATGTTGTATCTGGTTGGGGTTCTTCTTCATGTTCTACTTGATGATGCAGGTCCGAACAAGGTTAAGAGCTTGATCTCTTATTGCGTCAGTGTTGTGTTGCGTTAGCTCCACCGGATCTTTTTGTCCAGAGAATCCTGGAACGTTTTGGGCTTACCAGCTTTTTGTCACTCAACGTTGAACAATCTAGTAAGTATGTAAACTCTTCTTCTACACATCTTTCTGGAAAATAGTTGAATCAGACAGCTGAAGAATAGAAATTGATTTGTCTGCTTGATTTGGTTCTCAATATCAGAGCTTTGTTACCGAATAACTACAAAGAGTGATGTGCTTGAACTCTAGACGGAACTTTATGTGTGTCATAAACTCGTGAACCTATATTAACTGCCAAAATAATATATATGCTGATACTTTTCCAAATAAAAGGTTGTAAGGTACAATGCTGTGACCTGGAGAAGCTTTAGTGACCTGGAGATGCTTTACCTTTGCAATATGTTAATCTTAAGGGTCTATATTTTTTTTGTCAACTTTTGTAATTCATTGATATGGCAAGTGGATGCTATGTTTTTTTCAACTGTAAAGTGAACTAGATTGGAGCAAAGTGGTATGCTTAAGATGAGGGTATTGCCGTTCAGGGCAATACCAACTGAGTTTTTGTGTGCTTAAGATGATAAGTGGTATGGTTAAGATGAGGGTTTTTGTGTTAAATATCTTCGTCCACAGGAATGGAAATTTTATAGCCTTTTATTAAGAAGTTTGATTGTATCCCGTGAAATCTGTTAGCTACAGTGTTTGTGAAGGTGAAAACTTTGGGTTCTGATCCATAAAGCTTTTATTGTTATGTTGCTGTGGAGATATTTTTTTTTAAATGTCTTCTTGAGTAGCTTCATCATTGAAACCATACATTAGTTGGTATAATGGTATCTAGTACAATCTGTTATAGTTTCACTTTTTTGGATTTTTATGTGATATCTCATTTTTGTCATTGAACTTCGCCTTGTGAATTT